AGGTAAGAGCTTGGACGCATGGAACACTGGATATGTACGTAGATGAGGAGGAATCTCAATGACATACGAAGGACCATCCACATCACCAATTACGTCTAGAACTTGCCAAGGTCTTCTGTAGGTGGGTAGAAACTTTTGAGAGATGTTCTCTTCAGGAGCAAACTCTTTAGACTTCACCCAAACCAAATTTCCTACAGCAAATTGAGACGGGCGTCTGTGTTTATTTGCCTGTTCAATCATCTGATGCTGTGCTTTTGAGTATATTTTCTTTTACTTTCTCAATATCTTTGTGATATTGGACTGCAAATTCACTAGTCCCTATAGGAAGCTGATGTACTTGATCCGGGTTTAATCGATCAATGGGTCTGCATGGACGCCATCCCAGATGTAACTCCATAGAAGTTTTACATGTAGATAGATGTGCAGAGTTATTATAGGCATTGGCAACTTTAGGCAGATGTTCATCCCAGTCAATCTGATCGGGACGGATGTACATGCGTAAAGTTTGCTGCAAAATCTTGTTCATCTGCGCAGTCTGGCCATTAGTCTCAGGATGTTTGCCTGATGACATAGTCAGCTTAGAGCCATAAACATTCATCAGTTGCTGCCATTGTTCACTCGTGAATCTGGTATCTCTGTCACTCACAATAGTTAAGGGATGTCCAAAGTCTTTTACCCAATGGTTAAAGAATTCCCGAAATACCAATTCAGTCTTTGCTTCCGCAGGCAAAGCTACAAAAACAGCATACTTAGTGAATTTATCCACTATGATCATTACTTGCGTTTTCTCATTTCTGCTTTTTACCTTAGTATCCATGAAATCTATAGAGACAGAGTCTCCAGGGCCTGTCTCTTATACACATCTAGATGTGTATAAGAGACAGGATGTCAACGCGCCAGTCCTACCGCCGGTCGCACGCGCCGACAAAAAAAAAAAAGGAAAGAAAATAGAAGAAGAAGAAGAAGAAGAAGAAGAAGAAAGTCAAGAAACCCTATACTTATCCATCCATTCATCCCATCCNCATTTCTGCTTTTTACCTTAGTGTCCATGAAATCTATAGAGACAGAGTCTCCAGGGCCGGTAGGGATAGGCAAGGGCTTAAGTAGCCCGAGGGGCGATCGCGTGGTGCTTTTGTTTCGTTGGCACACTTGGCAACCTTGCACATACGCGATACAGTTTGCTTTCATCCGAGGCCAGGCGTAGGAACGCAATAAAGTCCCATAGGTTTTTTTCCACCCGAAATGGCCTTTTGTATCATGGCATTCCCCCAAGGTCATACTTTTGATCTCTTCATTATTGGGTATACACAGCCTATCATGCACATCAGTTCGTTCAAACAATAGGCCCTGAGTTACTTTATGATCGGAAAACTCTGCTGGTTTTTCTTGCATTAGCTTAATCATGGTTCCATAAACAGGATCAGAGGGATACGCATTCCTAATCTTATCTTGTAGGTCAGCACCTACGTCTAGATAGGTCACAATAGCATCGAAAAAGTCTGATCTACGACTTAGTGCATCAGCAACAACGTTATACTTACCCTTTACTGGCTTCAATTCGAAATTAAACATATCAATTTTCGCAGCCCACCTTGTCAACTTAGGTGTCATTCGAGCCTGCGTTTTAAGCCAGCGAAGTGTTTCATGGTCAGAATACACCTTAAAATGTCGTCCCAGAAGGTAGTGTCGCCAATGGTTGAGAGCCTCTCGTAGAGCATACAACTCCCTTTCATACGTTGAAGCGGCCACCTTCTCGTTAGGTAATCGGCAAGACAAACTTCACAGGTCTGTATCCATGCTCATCGTCTTGCTGGAGTACAACACCTATATCATATTGACTAGCGTCGGTCGTGACCACGAAAGGTAAGGAAGGGTCCGCCACTTTCAAAATCGGATAATTAATCAAACACTTTTTCAGAGGCTTGAAGGACATCGTGCAGTCTGAATCCCACTTCCAAATTACTTCTTTCTTAAGCAATCGGCGAAGGGGAGCAGCTATTATCGTAAAGTGTCTTATGAACTTTCGATAGTAATTGGCTAACCCAAGGAACGACCGCAACTCAGTCAAGGTGCGGGGGTTCGGCCAATCTCTGATTGCTGCTATCTTTGCATCTTCCGGTTTGACCCCACCTCCATCAATCACATGTCCTAGGTATAGCACCTGACGCTTAGCCCACTCACACTTCTTTGGGTTTAACTTGAGTTTTGCTTCTCTCAATTTACTTAGCACAAGTCGAAGGTGCTCAACATGCTCCTTTTCATTTTTGCTGAAAAACAAAATATCGTCTAAATAAATCACAACAAATTTGTAGAGCCATTCACGAAAGAGTTCGTTCATCGTTCTTTGGAAAGTGGCAGGGGCATTTGCGAGACCAAAGGGCAAAACTATGAACTCATAATGCCCATACCTTGTCCTGAAGGCAGTCTTATGTTGGTCTTCCGGCTCAACCTCAATCTGATGGTAGCCGGATTTTAGATCAATCTTTGAGAATACTTTGCTTCCTTGCACGCGATCCAGCAAATCGTCTATTCGCGGTAATGGTTCGGCATTTTTCACTATTATATCATTTAACCTCCTATGATCTATACACATGCGAACGCTGCCGTCCTTTTTAGGCACAAAGAGCACAGGCGCACCATAGGGCGAGGAGCTAGGTCTGATTCATCCATTCTTCAGCAACTCATCGAGTTGGGTTCGCAGTTCATCCAATTCGTGGGGCGACATACGATAGATAGGCCCCTTCGGGGGCGCGCTCCCTGGAATGATATCAATGAGGTGGCGGATTGGTCTTTCCACCACACCGCTTGGGGCCTCAGCCACATCTGCAAACTCTTTTAGGATCCTTTCAATCTCGTGGGACCTGACTTCTTCCTTTGTTTCTCCTTCCTTTACTGGGCGCACATATGCAACAAAGACTTGATCGTACAAGTTATGTTTCTTAACATGGAGAGCGAACATTGGGGCACTCGTACAACAGTGAGCTAGGCTGCTTTCCTTTCCAGATTCATGATGGAGGCAGATTTTCTTCTTACCTCCTTGCGGACTTGGAAGCCAACATTCATGTTCCCTTAACTTTAGATCCGCATGTGCAGCCTCACCCCAATCCATTCCTAACAACACATCAAAGGGCAAATTATCCTCCACCAAGAAGGTCAGAGAGTGGAGAACTCGTTTCACCTTCCCCTCTGCCTCTAGCCGAAAGTATACTTGAACCTCCTCAACGTATCGATCCATGATGGTTTCACTACTATTTGCTAGCTTACTTACAATGGGCTCACTTAACTTCTTTACCTTAAGGCCCAGACGCAGTTTTTGCAAACCTTTCTTACTTATGTAACTGCGTGTAGATCCGCTATTTATCATACCTCCTACTCTTATTCGATTTATTTCTAGATCTGCAATTATTAACTGTCCTTTCTTTTTACGCATTTCAGTCCAGGCTTGGCGACGAGCGGCCAACTCATCACCCACGCCAGCGAGGGATCCATCTAGAGAGATGCATACGTTTGCCACCTCTGGACAGTGCACTAGATGGGGACGTCCTTCCTCTTCAGTTTCTGCCATTGGGGCCTTCGAATGGGAGGATTCTGATTTTTCAACACTCGAAGCTCCGGTAGAGGCAACTGACACCTCTACTGGCTGTTCCCTTTTGCCCCCCTATAGTCAGGGCAGTAGGGGACAATGTGGTCAGGGTCCCCACATTTGAGGCACTGATCTGCCTTCTTCCTTTCGGCCCAGACTTTTTTTGTAATGCCCAACTCTTTCCAAGGCTCTCCTTCTGGTAGGCCTGGATGTGGTGGGTATGGCTTATCCCACTTGTTGTACCATGAGCCTCTTCCTCTACCCCAGGTGGAGTAAGAACCACGACCACCGTATGAGGGACCATTTCCCCTTCCTCCCACGTAGTGGCTTCCTTCACCACCACCCCTCTGGGTGTCGAATCCTCGTCCACCACAGTCGCGACCTCGTCCTCGGTCATGCCCTCTTCCTTGACGCCCTCCCCCGCGGGCTACAACAACCGCGTAACTCCCCTCCTGAGCTACCGGTCTGTTGGGTTCATCGAGACCATAGTCTATCTGATCCCAGGAGATGGTCTCGACGCCTCCTTCCTCAAAGGTTAGAAGGAGACTGTCTTTCCGAAGGTATGGACCCTGAGATCGTGCGGTTTTGCCATCTTTTACCCGCTTGCAGATCTTTCCAGTAATGGCAGTAATTTGCTTCAGCGAGGAAGCCGACATGATCTATGGCAATCTTGCCGAACTTCTCATATGTCATCCCCTCTTCCTTGGTACGGGGGTAGAGTTGTGTTCTTAGGGGATCCGTGAGCGCTCGTGCCAAGCTGTTTAAGATTTGGGCCGGTGTCAATCCGTGATCAGGGCATTGCAATAGTTCATCCATAGTTGCCTTTAGCGCAGAGGTACTTTTCCATTTCCTGTCAGGAAGGCTGAGGATCAACATTTTTGTACGTCTTGCCAAGTTTTTGTCCTCAAATTTTTCTTTTATTAACTTAAGAAAATCTTCGATTCGTGTTTGCTGCGAATACTCTACCATGGAGCTGCATCCCGCTTCTTTTTGCAGCGAGATGGCGAAGCTCATGGCATCGCTTCCCATGCACAAAGTTGCCATCAATACCCTGTCCCAATAAGGAATGTGCTGCCCGTACACGTAAGTTTCAATCGCCGCCGCCCAGTGCAATACACTTTCATCTTTCTTTCCATTGTAGGTCCACGGCAGCTTAAGCTTTATCTTGTTAACTTGCCCGGTCTCCTGAAGAAGTTTTTCCTTTGGATCCCCAATCTTCCTATTCCCTTTCTTGTCACCATCATCGTCGTCATCACCATCGTCTTCGCGTCCTCCGCCTCCTTTCATGATCTTCTCTATAACTTCAGGAGTGAAGACTTTATTAATATGTTCGTCCAAAGTCTGGATGTAAGTTTGCACATGTTGGTCAACATCCTTGGCTGACTTTTCCACAAAGTTATTGCAGACGTTTTCGAATTCAACTCGATGTGCTTCAACCCTTTGTAGAGTCTGATGCATTAACTTCATATCTTGCCTTGTGTTGAGGACTGTCTCCCTGAGGAGTGCAAGTTGTGCTTCGGTTTCAGAGGGACTTTCCTTTTGCGCTTCTAGAGCTTTCTGCAATTTCTCCCCCTCCGCATGCAACTTCTTTTTCTCTTCTACTTCTTGCCGCCTAGCGGCCAACAGCCTGCGATTTAGTTCAAACCTTTTCTCTTCCAGCATCAGATTTCGTTCAACAGCATCTGTGACAGTGGCGAACTTGGCTATGAACGTATCTCGTTCTTCATCAGTCTCTTTCAATGGCTCGCTGGAGTAGTAGTACCGGCTACCCCAGTCCAATGGTTCAACGGGAAGGCGGGTCGTTGTGCTGCTTTCAGGTATGTCTTGGCGACGATGTCTTTCCAGAACTTCTCCTTCTTCCTGTTCTTCTTCTTCTTCTTCTTCTTCTTCTTCTTCTATACTCTTCAACTCCTCCTCCAGTTCTTTATCCATCTTCTCTTTCATTTTCTTTCTTGCTTCTTCTTCTCTCTGTTTTTTCTTTGCTTCTTTCTCCTTTTTCTTTTCTGCCAGCCTGCGGTCTATTTCTGCTTGTTCCGCAGGTGTGGGGCCAGGCTTCACTGTTCCAGACCGCATCAGCATGCGGGACGTGCACACACGCCCGAACCCCAGTGGGAACATAAGCCAGATCAGCGGCCCCAACAAGACAGAAAGGGCCAACAGACCCTGGATGGGATAGTCATCCATGATGATTGCCGGCACAGGAAACCCTCCGCCGGGTCACCAAGGTACTATCCCACTTACAGACTTGATCTTATCTTGCGGTAATGGAGTACTATACTTTCTTTTTTTTCCGTTTGACAGTAGAAGGTGCTGTGTACAGTCAACAATAGATTAAACTAAAACGAACTGTATATATATATTTTTTCTTTTGATGTGCTGTCTGGCCTCCTGGATTGAACTTTCGGTAATGTGTTTCTGTTGTCTTGCTTTCTCTTTTTTTTTGTTTTGGTACTAACTTGGCTGGTTGCTGGGTGCAGATATGGAGTATAGCGCAGAGAAGTCAGATGCAATTGGTTCACTTACCCACCCAGGCAGAGATACTTCGTATACCCTTTTCTTTCTTTCAGGCTTTAACAGGCCCTGCAGATGTTCAATATCATCCTTATGCTGCCTGGTACATGCTATCTGACGTGGCACATTGCCACTTCCCACATCGATCCCTGGTTCTCGATGAGGATACCCAGCCAACCTATTAAGAGGGATAGGAGAGAGACCTACTCCTATTCGCAAAACAATGGACCACCTACTCTAGTGTGACCAGTTCCTGACACATCCCACTTGGGTCATCAGACTCTGACGGCTCAGACCTGATAGCTACGACAACCCAGATCCAGACTTCCGACTCCTGACCAGATCAGCAGCAGTCACCTTCAGAGGGCTAGAGAGAGAGAAGGTAGGGGACACACACATACATGCAGGTTCAGGGAAAGGAGGTGCTTCTCTCTTCTTGACGATACCGCCGATGGTGCTCCACGACGCTCCGCACGCTCCAGGTAAGTAGACTTTGCCACTTCTTCTTCGGCCTGCTTCCCCCACTATCAACACTCTTCTTCTCCTCCTCCTCCCTCCTTCGCTATTCCTCCATCACCACTTCTTCTCGCCGGCCTGGATCAGACCAGCGCTATGAGAGTAGCGAGCATCTGCTCTGATACCAAATTTGCATGGGTCCTGGGGACCCTTTCACGCAAGTGTGTACAAGTCATGCATCATCCTCACACACCACGGGCAATAGTCTCAAGTCATAGACAAAGGTAGATGAGAAGAGGACCGAGTTCCACAGCTTATATTATCAGAAATATGAATACAAAGTGTTTCAAAGTTCCCCTGAGTCCAACGCTCATCAGCGCAACACCAATCTCTTGTCAACTCATCAATATGACTTCCACTGAATCAGCGCTACTCCTGCAGATAGTCTCCAAGTCATCAATGTGGACACTACTCATCAGCACCACCTCTGCAGGTCACACACATCCAACTCAGGTAAGTATCTTCCATAGTCGAACCTTGAATGAACACTCTCAGCCTCAGTCCCTTCCTCCTACGATGCATACACACTCTTCACTCATGAGGATCTACTCTGAATACTACTCATAGCTATATGCTAACCCACTACTACTAACACTAACTCGCTGGGCAGCTATGGCTGCATCACTTCCAGCGTACAGGCTTCTTCCTCCTTCCTTCAGCGCATCTTCTACCTCCAGCGCTGCTCCTCCTGACTCAGCGCACAAGTGCACCAGCACTTCCACGCATTGCAGCCAGTGGAGATCTGGCGAGGAATGAGGCTGGCA